GGGGGGGGGGGTTGAAGATTAGACAGGGGTTAGGGATTGGGGATTTTTCTTTTTCTTTTTATAAGTTTTTTTCGTATTTTTTTCTTTTCTAATTAAAATTTTAATTATTTTTAAATAAAATAACTTGGTCTATGCGCTTTTCCAGCGTGATCTATGCACACCTTGACCACATTGACTAGGTTTTTGCCAGATAAGCATGGTCAATAACCAAAGGGCTTTATTAAGGTGCAAATAGTTAAGTTGAAAAGTTTAAATGAAAAATTTATAAGTTCGTTTACCGAGATGATAAACGGGCGTAGGTTTAAGTGGTCTGAAGGTCATTCGGCCAAAAAGAAGCGCAAATACTTTCCTGAGTGTTTGCACCTAATTGAAAATTTTACCTTAAAAATAAAAAAATGCTAAAGTATTAAAAAGTGTTTATGCAAGATTTATGTCTCTTATCCATTAACTTTGTATAAATACCTAATGCAAATAAATTTTTACTCTTTGGAAGGTTTTATGAATTCATCAAAACGAAACGGGTTCAAAATATCTAAATGTATTATTCTAAGAGGTGTCAGGAGCCAACCATAGAAGAACCAAATGGAAGTTGACTCATTGATGATTGATGAGCCGAACATGAACTATTCTGGATAATCCATCCTCTTAACGACTCAAAAAAGTTATAGTTATAAAGGAAAAAAAACATACAAGCATTTTCAAAAGAGACAAAAAATTATTCCATTTCTTTTTATCTGCCTAGGCATTAGAATCAGAGTAAGCTATATGTTGGTAGGAGGTAGTAGAAAGGTAGCAGAGTCAAACTTTTTTTAGTGCTCTATGTATGAGTCCAAATTTGGACGACCACGACTGTTGATGAGTACGACAAGTGACTTAGGCAGATTGGGGATTAGACAGGGGTTAAGGGAGGGATTGGGGACTTTTCTTTTTCATTTTTTAAGTTTTTCCGTATTTTTTTCTTTTCTAATTCAGATTTTAATTATTTTTAAATAAAATAACTTGGTCTATGCGCTTTTCCAGCATGATCTATGCGCACCTTGACCACATTGGCTAGGTTTTTGCCAGATAAGCATGGTCAATAACCAAAGGGGTTTATTAAGGTGCAAATAGTTAAGTTGAGAAGTTTAAATGAAAAATTTATAAGTTCGTTTACTGAGATGATAAACGGACAAAGGTTTAGGTGGTCTGAAGGCCATTCGGCCAAAAAGAAGCGCAAATACTTTCCCGAGTGTTTACACCTAATTGAAAATTTTACCTTAAAAATAAAAAAAATGCTAAAGTATTAAAAAGTGTTTATGCAAGATTTATGTCTCTTATCCATTAACTTTGTATAAATACCTAATGCAAAAATTTTTTTACTCTTTGGAAGGTTTTATGACATTCATCTAAATGAAACGGGCTCAAAATATCTGAATGTATTATTCTAAGAGGTGTCAGGAGCCAACCATAGAAGAACCAAGTGGAAGTTGACTCATTGATGATTGATGAGCCGAACATGAACTATTCTGGATAATCCAACCTCTTAACGACTCAAAAAAGTTATAGTTATAAAGAAAAAAAAAGCATACAAACATTTTCAAAAGAGACAAAAAATTATTCCATTTTTTTTATTTGCCTAAGCATTAGAATCAGAGTAAGCTATATGTTGGTGGGAGGTAGTAGAAAGGTAGCAGAGTCAACCTTTTTTTAGTGCTTTATGTATGAGTCCAAATTTGGATAACCACGACTGTTGATGAGTACGACAAGTGACTTAGGCAGATTGGGGATTAGACAAGGGTTAAGGGAGGGATTGGGGATTTTTCTTTTTCTTTTTTTAAGTTTTTCCGTATTTTTTTCTTTTCTAATTCAGATTTTAATTATTTTTAAATAAAATAACTTGGTCTATGCGCACCTTGACCACATTGGCTAGGTTTTTGCCAGATAAGCATGGTCAATAACCAAAGGGGTTTATTAAGGTGCAAATAGTTAAGTTGAAAAGTTTAAATGAAAAATTTATAAGTTCGTTTACTGAGATGATAAACGGGCGTAGGTTTAGGTGAACTGAAGGCCACTCGGCCAAAAAGAAGCGTAAATACTTTCCCGAGTGTTTACACCTAATTGAAAACTTTACCTTAAAAATAAAAAAAAATGCTAAAGTATTAAAAAGTGTTTATGCAAGATTTATGTCTCTTATCCATTAACTTTGTATAAATACCTAATGCAAATAAATTTTTACTCTTTGGAAGGTTTTATGACATTCATCTAAATGAAACGGGCTCAAAATATCTGAATGTATTATTCTAATAGGTGTCAGGAGCCAACCATAGAAGAACCAAGTGGAAGTTGACTCATTGATGATTGATGAGCCGAACATGAACTATTCTGGATAATTCATCCTCTTAACGACTCAAAAAAGTTATAGTTATAAAGAAAAAAAAAAGCATACAAACATTTTCAAAAGAGACAAAAAATTATTCCATTTCTTTTTATCTGCCTAAGCATTAGAATCAGAGTAAGCTATATGTTGGTAGGAGGTAGTAGAAAGGTAGCAGAGTCAAAAAATTTTTAGTGCTTTATGTATGAGTCCAAATTTGGACGACCACGACTGTTGATGAGTACGACAAGTGACTTAGGCAGATTGGGGATTAGACAGGGGTTAAGGGAGGGATTGGGGATTTTTCTTTTTCTTTTTTTAAGTTTTTCCGTATTTTTTTCTTTTCTAATTCTGATTTTAATTATTTTTAAATAAAATAACTTGGTCTATGCGCTTTTCCAGCATGATCTATGCGCACCTTGACCACATTGGCTAGGTTTTTGCCAGATAAGCATGGTCAATAACCAAGGGGGTTTATTAAGGTGCAAATAGTTAAGTTGAAAAGTTTAAATGAAAAATTTATAAGTTCGTTTACTGAGATGATAAACGGGCGTAGGTTTAGGTGGTCTGAAGGCCATTCGGCCAAAAAGAAGCGCAAATACTTTTCCGAGTGTTTACACCTAATTGAAAATTTTACCTTAAAAATAAAATAATGCTAAAGTATTAAAAAGTGTTTATGCAAGATTTATGTGTCTTATCCATTAAGTTTGTATAAATACCTAATGCAAATAAATTTTTACTCTTTGGAAGGTTTTATGACATTCATCTAAATGAAACGGGCTCAAAATATCTG